TTAACTCAGCATCGTCCTGCTGGCCACTTCAGGGTGTTATGTAAGCAAGGAGTTTTCTAAAAGCAGACAGAGGCTCTGAAATACAAAGCTGGAAGATGTGTGTGAATGAGGAGGGATTCTCCTACTCAACCATGAAGATATCAGGGTGCAGCAGGGTGGCCACTTTATTGTGTGTCTGTGAATCTCAACCCTTAGAGGATGTGTCGGCTTTCAGAACTATTTTATTTTCTATGCCAGCTCCTCCTTGCTGGTGTTCTTTAGCCAAATATTGGCTGGGATGACCAAACTCATTTAGTGGAGAACATGAGAATAGAAGAAGAAAAATATGCTCTGCAGTGCTTAATGCCAACCCCATGCCGAAAGCATCTCAGAACGTTTATTCTCAGTAGTGGTAATAAGACAACATGTCTGGCTTGAATAGGAGCTTTTGCTGTTGTGCGTGGACTGTGGGTTCCTAAGAGCTCCTCTAATCTGACTTCCCCCTCTTGTTCTTGCTTCCCTCTGGCCCTGTGTCCCACCTTACATTTCAATCCATTCATTTGGAGGCTTCATTTGAAGTCTCTCGTAGATGTCCTTGGGGCACCTCTTGGCTCCTCGGAGTTGATTTTTGTCCCTTAAGAGGTCTCTCCAAGTGATCAGGCAGTATCACACAGACTTTTTTTTTTGCTTTTGGAACAGTTGTGGTTTTTATCTCCAAGACTATTCCTCGACTTGAGGCCATCTGCCCCGCAGCAAACAGATGTTTGCGTGGAAATCTCCCCTCTAGATGAATAAAATCCTCCCAGAGGCTAAGGCAGGCTGGAAAAGTTCTTTTGTGCACCTATGAAGCATAACTGAGCCCTAAGCAACCACCTTTGATGTATATTTTGTGATTGGGGAAGAAAAAAATCAAATAGCATTTCTTGCGGCTAAACTGTTTCTTGCAGATGAGGATTTTTGTTGGCTGCAGGCCTTAAAGCAATGTGAGCTTTGCCCCCTCTGATTAAACAAAGGGTTAGCATGAGAATGCTTTTTCTTACATTGCACTTTTTTTTTTTACATTTGTTGTTTGGACGTAATATTTTATCAGCAAAATGGATCTGATAGCTGTCTTCTAAATCTATCTTTTTCTGGTTTACAGAGAAACCATTTTCATAAAGTACTTTGTTCAGTGTTAGCCTTCAAAAGGTGGAGGTTTACAGACATGCTGAAATGAAATGAGCATCCTTATTTCAGAGGATATTCGTTTTGTCTCAGTTCCCTGGATCCCCTGGTCTAGATCAATGTACCCTAAGATAGCAGCATTTGTCATAATTGGCTGATACATTAGTGTGTTTTGATAACAAGTATTAGCTTTCATTATGGGATCAGTATACCATATAATAATCTTGAATAAGGAGTAATAACTTGGCTTTTGAGGAGCAGTGAAGCTAACAGCAAACTTGAGATAATGGCGCATTCTTCAACCGAAGTTAAAGCTTGCAGTCTAGCAAAATGTTTCCTGAGCCACATTTATTTAAACATGATAACTTATTTTCTATATTCAATCATGAATACTGGCTTACACATCAGTGAGGCCAGAATGGAGTGGGAAGTTGCATTTTCACAGTTCACCTTCAAGATAGACATTAGGCCCAATAGTTCAGAATCCCCTAGTCAGGAGGGAAGAAGCCTAAGCAATGTTATCCTCAGAAAAAGACAAACTAAACTTTCATCCCTAGAGACAAACATCTGTAGCTGTAGTCTTTGGAGAGATGAGGACCAAACAGGTGTGTGTGTGTGTGTGTGTGTGTCTAGCTCTTTGCAAATACAGACCACATTATTGATTACTGACTGTTCATTGCTGAAGGCAGTTTTCTGTATTCAATAAATTTAGCTTTAATTCCTTGGTCTAACAAAATAATTGACCTCAAAAGAAGATGAATTAATGGCCTGTCCAGATCTCATGATTAGAATGCACTCTCTCTTCTCATCATATTAGTATTTTTCAATTCAGTGATTTTTCTATTCTTTTCTATCTCCTTTCACAATCTATAATACCTTTCATCATACTCCTGTATCAGCAGAGCCATGCTATTTTCACTCTTGAATTCAAGAAGAAAAGGTTTATACTTGGGTCATTTTTATACTATGAAATTAATATTAATTTAGTATAGCTTCTTTTTAGGACAAACTAATTAGCATTTCTGAAAAAATCGGTATGCTCTGATTTAATAAAATCTTAAGTAATATCAACATATAGCATATGTAAAATTTTTGATAAATTGATCCTTAGACCATTTTGAAAATGTTGCCTTGTTTGATTCAATACTTACTGTACTTTTTGAATCACTGAACATTAGAGTTCAATAAAATTTAATCTGACTTTACATTTAGGAAAATAAGAAGGACTATTTGGAGATATGAACAAAATTACACAGGATGTATAAGCCACAAACCATTAGATAATCCATATATTTTAACTGCTGGTGTAGAAACAGAATTTGTATATTTAAGAAAAAAAATGTATTATTTGATCAGAAGAAAGTAAGCAAGTGAACAGAGACCTGTTAAGCTTTGTTGTTTGGAGTTGTCATAATGATAGGTACCTTTCTTTTAATGATTGAGGCCACATTAATCTCTTTAATAAACAGAACCGAAGTAGCTAACTCTAGGGCTTCTCCAGCCAGTGTTGGAGCAACCACCAGTAGCTTCGCTGGAACCCACAGGATTCACCACGTTTTCCATCTGTGTCTTAGGAAGGAAACTTCCCCAGCCTGCAAGAAAGGAGAGTTGTTTTTTTTGTTGTTGTTGTTTTGTTTTGTTTTTTAATTTGTTTTTGTTTCGGTTTTTAAAATTCCTACTGAAGAGTTCTTAAACAACCCAAGACTTTCTTTGTCCTTGCATTTTTGAGAAGGGACATGGATCTAGAGGGTATAAAGGAACCCTGGAGAGGTAAAGCAGCTCCACTCTGTTGTTGGGAACTCAGATGGCCCAACTCCAAGGCATTGTCTATCCTTGGCTGTTTCCCCCACCTCAACTTACATTCCCCAAATGGGGTAAAACTTGAGCTGGCTCTACCTAGGCTCCTTTGTGCAAATGCATAGGTGACTACACGTTAAGTATTTCTGAGAGAGCCTAACATCTGAGCCGGAGAGGTCAATGGTGCTAACTAAAGTGCCATTGCAGGATGCGGGAGTTCATTTGCTGGTATATACTTTTTCATTTAGACTCAACTAACCAAAAAGCCAAAATTGCATTACTTATTCACGTTCTATAAAATGATCACTTATATTTATAACAATAACCCAAGACACTTCATGGCTTTCTGAACTCATTATGACCACCTAAATTATATTCATTATAGTTTTACTATTATATGAAGTTAATTACATTATGAATCTCTGAACACTGCTAATTGATTATAGAAATGAGAAAGAGTACAAATGCATTACTTTGAACACCCACTTATGGACTATCCCAAATAAAAACAATTTAAATGAATTTAGTACTAGAACAAGTTTATAATAATAGGGAACAAATGTATTACCAATATGCATTTTTATCATGTTATTGATAATACTTTGAACATATTTGCAACCTATTCTAATTTGAATTTATATAGAACCCGAGATTTTCTAAAATTTAGCAATAAATGACACAAATAATTGAGCTACTCTGAAGGCATATTAAATGGTAACTCTTAAAGTTAATAGCAGCTCTTTCGAAGCAAAATCAGAGCATCCTTTATTTTCTTTGTCTATTAGGTCATAGATGACCATCAAATCTCATTTAAAATATCACTTGCATTGATCTAAAATATTTTCAATCACAAGATATACATTTTTTTTTTTTTTTTTTTTTTTTTTTTTTTTTTTTTTTTTTTTTTTTTTTTTGACAGGCAGAGTGGACAGTGAGAGAGAGAGACAGAGAGAGAAAGGTCTTCCTTTGCCGTTGGTTCACCCTCCAATGGCCGCCGCTGCAGCCGGCGCACCGCGCTGATCCTGGCAGGAGCCAGGAGCCAGGTGCTTTTCCTGGTCTCCCATGGGGTGCAGGGCCCAAGCACCTGGGCCATCCTCCACTGCACTCCCTGGCCATAGCAGAGAGCTGGCCTGGAAGAGGGGCAACCGGGACAGAATCCGGCGCCCCGACCGGGACTAGAACCCGGTGTGCCGGCGCCGCAAGGTGGAGGATTAGCCTATTGAGCCGCGGCGCCGGCTACAAGATATATTTTTGTATGAAAATGCCTATTAACAGCAATTATAGGGTAGGCATTTGGTGTGGTGGTTAAGATACTTCTTGGGGTGCCAGCACTGTGGCACAGCAGGTAAAGTCGCTACCTGCAGTGCTGGCATTCATATGAGCACTGCTTCGGATTCTGGCTGCTCCACTTCCGATCCAGCTCTCTGCTGTGGTCTAGGAAAGCAGTAAAAGATGGCCCAAGTCCTTGGGCCCCCACCCATATGGGAAAACCTGGAGGAAGCTCCTGGCTCCTGGCTTTGGATTGGTGCAGCTCCGGCTGTTGCAGTCAATTGGGGAGTAAACCAGCGGATGGAAGACTCTCTCTCTCTCTGCCTCTCCTCTCTGTGTAACTCTTTCAAATAAATAAATAAATAAATCTTTTTTAAAAAAAGGACACTTGTTAGGACAATTGTAATCTATATCAGAATTCCTGAGTTTGATTCATTTTTAAAAATTGTTTTAAGATTGATTTATTTATTTGAAAGAGTTACAGAGAGGGAGAGACAGAAAGAGATCTTCCATCCACTGGTTCACTCCCTAAATGGCTGCTATGACTAGAGCTGGGCCAGACCAAAGCCAGGAGCTTCTTCTAGGTCTCCTGCTTGGTTCAGGGTCTCAAGTACTTGGACCATCTTCTCTGCTTTCCCGGTCCCATTAACAGGGAGCTGGATTAGGTGAAGTAGCCAGGACTCAACCCAATGCCCACATCGGTAAAGAAAAGCAGTTGTATTTCAGATAAGTCGATGTGTTAGACTTTGTAGATCTTATAACATATGACTGCTTTCTTGTTTTGCGTGCAGAATTTTTCCGAGAGCTCCTGGAGAATGCAGAAAAGTCACTCAATGATATGTTTGTAAGGACCTACGGCATGCTGTACATGCAGAATTCAGAAGTGTTCCAGGACCTGTTCACGGAGCTCAAAAGATACTACACCGGGGGCAACGTGAACCTGGAGGAGATGCTCAATGACTTCTGGGCCCGGCTCCTGGAACGGATGTTTCAGCTGATAAACCCTCAGTATCACTTCAGCGAGGACTACCTGGAATGTGTGAGCAAGTACACAGACCAGCTGAAGCCGTTCGGAGATGTGCCCCGGAAGCTGAAGATTCAGGTTACCCGTGCCTTCATTGCGGCCCGAACCTTTGTCCAGGGGCTGACGGTGGGCAGAGAAGTTGCAAACCGAGTCTCCAAGGTAATTGAAAACTTGCTATTTTTCTATTTGGGCTTCTTTAATTCTGCTTTTAAAACTAACGCTTGCCTCCTTAAAAAATTCAAGGTAAAATTCATAGTTACAGGGCTCCTTCTCTTAGAGGAATCAGCTAAAAGTAACAACTTCATTCTGGTTTTGTTTGTTGCTTCCTTTATATGAGGAAAGAGGATTTCAAGCAGCTCCATGTGATTTGGAAAATAATGCCCGTATTTATCAACAATATAGCAGTGAAACTTTAATCAAGAAAGGTGCAAAGCCAGGAGTCTTGTTCCTATGACGCTTGGCATTTCCGATGAGAGTTTTAAGGGAGGGTCCATCAGAGGGGATGATCCCCTGGAAGACAAGGCGACGGTCTGCAGGTGGAGACCAGCCTTTGTTCGGGACAGCAGCACCTGGCATTTCTTCTCCTTTCTCACATGTGTCAAAGTGGCCAGATTCCTTCCTGCTGAAGAAAGAGGCTTTGCCGACACCTGTGGACTGGATTAGGGCGGACTAATAGGTGTAGAATGTAGAATCTGGCATTCCTTTTGTTATCCGTTATCTTTGTAAGTCCGCACTATGTATTGTGTTGGGTTTATGAAAAAGCTAAATCACTAATCCGCTTCGGGGCCTTTCCTTGGGGGTGACGTCTCAAACCTTTAATGCAGGGATCATTCTCTTCTATCTTTAAACACTGAGTAATTCCTGTGTAGAGGATCTCTGCTGTTTAAGTTCTTGCTTGACATTTAACTTCTCTTATGAGATGGGTCTGCCCATTTATGAGGTCTGTCCCACAGATAAACTGACAGATAATGAGTTTAAGAAGTAAAGTAAAAGCAAGACTTAGCAGGATTCTAATATTATGTCATTCCAAAAAGGTCATATTTGTACAAAGATTATTGCAGAACACTACTTTTTCATTGCAGGGCTGTGCCAAAGAGCCACAGTTTTGTTTTGTTTTGTTTTGTTTTGTTTTGTTTTGTTTTGTTTTTCATAACTATTGATACTCTCCTGCTATGTTTTTTTTCCACTTTGATCACACTATTTATATTTTGCCATAACAATAATGAATACCTTAGAATATTTCTCTGGGACACTTTTTATAAACTTGTAATTCATTTTATTTTTTTTTTTTTAATTTGAAAGGAAGGTAGACATAGAGGGATGTTTAATCTGCTGGCCTAATCCCCAAATGGCTGCAACAGCAGGGCTGGGCCAGGATAAATCTATGAGCCCAGACTCCATCCGGGTCTTCCATGTAAGTGGTGGGGACACAAGTACTTGAGCCATTCTCTGCTGCCTCCCAGGACGCACATCAGCAGGAAGGTGCATTGTAAGTGAATAGCTAGGACTTGAACAAGGCATTCTGATGTGAGATGTAGGTGTCCCAAGCCTTGGCTTAACCCCATGTACCACAATGCCCACCACATACAACCCATTTTCAAATGATGAATTTCTAAAGAGTTTATTGGACTGTATGGAAAGGTTATTTCCAAAATAACTTTACAGGGATAGTAATAAATGGCTTCATAATGCAAAGTTCATATAACTTCAAAACAGTACTTCTTATTGTATATCAACAACATTTAGATGCCAAAGGAACCAAGTGCCCCAAAAGTAGATTAATAAGAAATTAGCCAGGTAGAATAGCCAAGAGCAAGTATGATCACCTGAAGAGAGTCTGTAAACTACAGATAACCATACAACATAGATATGCATTCCACATTTTCTTGATCAGATGTCATTTGTTGTAAAAACAAGTTAAATAAAGGTAATAAGTGAAACTGCAGATATGAACAGTCACAGAAGCATCTGATGGAAGCCTTTGCTTTGGTCGGAAAACTAAGCCTGCATCTAGCCCTTGAGAAACATGAGATCAGGCCGGCGCCGCGGCTCACTATGCTAATCCTCTGCCTTGCAGCGCCGGCACACCGGGTTCTAGTCCCGGTCAGGGCGCCGGTTGCCCCTCTTGCAGTCCAGCTCTCTGCTGTGGCCAGGGAGTGCAGTGGAGGATGGCCCAAGTCCTTGGGCCCTGCACCCCATGGGAGACCAGGATAAGTACCTGGCTCCTGCCATTGGATCAGCGCGGTGTGCCGGCTGCAGCACGCCAGCCGTGGAGGCCATTGAAGGGTGAACCAACGGCAAAGGAAGACCTTTCTCTCTGTTTCTCTCTCTCACTGTCCACTCTGCCTGTCCAAAAAAAGAAAGAAACATGAGATCAGACGTTAAAAAGAATGGAGTGACACCTGCAAACATTCCCGATAGTTCTTACTGATCCTGCCTGAGTAGGAGTAATGCTTAGATGCACACAGGGTGGTCTGGGAAGGCTCTGGTGAGATAAGAGAATCTCTGTTTTCTGGTGAAGCCGCTGTACTGCTGACTCTCTTGTGTTCCCGAGCATGGCATGAGCAACAGCTGCATAGATGGCACTTCTCTCGGTGCCTTATTTGAGGCATCTGTCTATCCAAAGCTGGCACATTCTTCTTTATGGTAGAGGGTAACATCATGGGGCAGCCATCAGAGGAATATGACTTTTTTGTTTATCTTTCCAGGGTGATAAGCAATATATTCTTCAATACTGCATTCTTGCTTTCCTGGCTTCCTTCAGGACCAACATTCATTTGTAGAGCAGGTACTGCGGGTGTGTGATGTAGTTAGTGGATCATGTTGTCATAGAAAAACACTTGCTTTATGCAAATATTGCCTGATCTGACCTGGGTTTCATTAGCCCTAATCAACTAAAATCATAAATCCTAGGCTGACACATAGCACTGCCTTTGGAGAAAGATAGACAGAAGTAGGTGGGTAGGAAGGTAGGTAGATTTCTTCTGATTAAAAGAAGCTGAATCTTTTTTTTCTGAATGTATGACTCAAGCATTTCAGTGTTTTACCAATGAATTTTCTCACCTAATAATTACCAGATGGTCTATAGCTCAGTAAACTAGAAATAAATCTACTAGTGTTACAATGATTTTCAGCACCCAAACTATCTTTATAAGAAGAATAAAATATTACTAGAACTAAATACATTAAGTGGAGAAGAAAAAATTCTATTGAGTTTTGGGCCTTCCCTAAATATGAGAAGCTTCCCTGTGCTCTAGTAATTACATGATTTAGAGTTGGTGAAATGATGGCCAAAGAGTTAAAAAATTTGGGACAAAATTCCCAATTTGAGATCCACAGAGTAGTTTTATCTCCTGAAGGATATTTTGGGAATTTTTTACCCTTCCATTTCTCTCTCTCTATCTCTTTTTACAGTGACTTTTTATATCTTGACGACATCATTAATAAGTTCTAATTAATTGTTTAGACTAGAAGATTTATCTCCTTGGCAAAACATAGCAGTTTGACACAAATGTTTTGACATACTGTTATAGGGAATTTCCCTGTAAGAAAAATGAATGGACTAGTTTGTAAGCATCAGCAGAGTTAATTTGAGAACTCATGCTTGATATTTTATGGATATAAATTTTGTTTTTTTTTCTAGCCTTTGGATGGAACAAGTTTACTTTAAGTAACTCTACCCCCAAGCTATTTCTCTTACAGTCATTATGTGATTGTAGAGTGACTATCTATGTCCTTGAGCTGAGAGTCATTTTCTCTGTGAATTGCCATTTTTGAGCATGCCAAGTGTTGGCAAGACGTGGAGTATCAGGAGCCTTCACTCTTTGCTAGTGAAAGTGTGCAGAATCTTTGCTGTTTTTCACCTCTGATTCTTTTAAGTTACATAGCTGTGATCAAGTCTCTGAACTCCCTGTGGTTTATAGGCTTGTTAGCCAGGCACTTGGCATGCTCACTATATTGTGATCAATAATGTAGGGTGAGTGTGGAAAAGCAAAACTCTAAGCTGCCTGTAAAAATAGGTGATAATGTAGTAGCCCAGATAGAATAGATCTATGTATTAGCATTGTCCCTTTATTAAAGCACCACCTCTTCCCCGATACACGCCCATCAGTGAGTGGGGACATGCATGCCCACAGCCACTCTGAATGCTGTGAGTCATTGTGAAGAACAGAGTAGGCTTCCTAGGGAGATCTGAGCAGTTTGCTTAATCCAAGCTTCTGTTACTCATTGTGGAGGCAAATGCAGAAACAAATCTGGTGTCTTTCCAGTCTATCATGATGTCATTTACACAAAGATGTGCCTGTCATATCTTCCAGCTTAATTAAAGAGTCTTCTATGAGTCAAAGCTGTAAATTATGTGAAAAGCAATCATTTTAACTATGGAAGTCATGTCGTGGATTCATTCCAGATGAATCAAATTAGGTAGGTAGTAGAGTTGGGATTCCTAGAACTTGAACTAATGACCAATACTCTTAAGTATCTATCCATCCCACTATCATCTATATTGCTGTCAATCTATCATCTATCTGTCTTTTCTTTTTAAGATTTGTTATTTATTTTGAGGCAGAGTTATGGTGAGGACACACACACACGCACACACAGCAGGCAGGGAGAGAAGGATTTTCCATCTGCTGGTTCACTCCCCAAATGACTGCAATGGTCACAGCTTAACCAGGCCTACCCCAGGATCCTAGAACTCCTTCTGGGTCTCCCATGTAGGTGGAAAGAGCCCAAGTGCCTGGACCATCACCCACTGCTTTCCCAGGTACATTAGCAGGGGTTGGTTTAGAAGTGGAGGAGCAGGCACTCAATCCAATGCTCATATGGGATGCTGGTGTCATAGGCAGCAGCCTTACCTGCCATGGCACTCTGGCCCCTATCATATTTTTTCTATCTACAATCTTTCTTCCTTGCAGATCTTGACTTTAAAATGAGAATATGGCTTTTAATCTTTGGTAAGACCAGAATATTTTCATCAACAGACCTTGAAGAGATGCTAAAGTGGTTCATCCACCTGAGCAAATAGCTCTGAATTAACAATGTGTGTCTAGAAAGCAATAGGCAGAGCCAATTTTCAACAAATGCATTGGGTGCATTATGAGGCTAAAAAATTTATCATCAAATTTGATGAAATGAAGTCTGTAAAACTCCTCCATTTA